TGGGAATCTGCTCTGGGAGAACTGGGAGGCAGAATCCAGATGGGCTATAGCCAGGGTTGTGTTTTTTTTTTTTTTCTCTTTCTCCATATTCCAACCATCCCGTGAAAAGTTGGGCCCAAGAATGCAAACTCCGGAAAACCAAGAGCAGTGCAGGGCCAAGATATTTACTCAGCCAATGGCTGTGTTTCCATCTCCCTGGCAGGCAGTCTCAGATTTCCTCAGAGCCGTGAAGCTGTGCTGAGTCCAGCCAGTCGCCTCTGCACATAAAGAGCAGGGTCTCTGCAGCCCTCCAGTCACTCCACCCAGCACCCAGGCGTCTGAGAGCAGAGCTTGGCGAAGCATCGCCCACCAGACCCTCCTGGGGTCTCAGGATGACCAGTCTGTCCCCACTGTAAACACAGCACCAAACTAATTTCAGGGTGGGGTGAAAGGGTATATTCCCCCCAGATTTTCCCAAAGGGAAGAAAGGTAGACAGAAACACGCTGGGGCCATCAAAAATAGACAAAATTACCTACACAAATTGTGATCGGCACAGTCCTGTCTGTTCTGCCACCATACAAAAATTGCAAGTTTTTCACCCAGATAGAAAATAAAAACAAAGAAAAAATTATCAGCACTCTGGTATCAATCAACCCATGATGATAGCTTAAATAAGCGTTCTCCACCCACCTGATGATCTGTCCCCAACCCCCCGGCAGGCTCCGGTTAACTTTGCATCTCCCGTATCTTGGGGGTTCAAGAAGCCAAACTGTCATTCTCTTTGACCATGTTGATTTCCGATCCTGAGCTTCCATCCAGGCCTTCTGGGGATCTCCTCGCTTCCTCGTGCAATGTATCGGGTCATCCAGTATCCGTCTTCAAAGGTCCTCCCTGTCCCACCGCCCCTCTGGGTCCGTCAGGTTCTCTGCACGCTCCAGGCCCGGGCATCTTTTGCAAGATGGTCCTCACTCATCATTCTCTGAGGACCTAACTCCCCAGGGACACCCCAGGAAGCAGGGCTCATGTTCCATCTGCTCTCAGCATCCTCAGGTCTCTCTTTCTTCTCCTCCTCTTTCTTCTCACAACCCAGGGGATTTTTTTTTTTTTTCTGGCCTGGGGAAAATTCTTTCCCTCCAAATTTCTTCAAGACACATAGTCTGTTGGCCCTAAATCCACTTGCCTCCTTACCAAAACTTAAAATTTTTTTTTCAATTTTTTAAAATCCCTTTTTTTTTAAACAAAAGCTAGAAAACTTTCTTGGCTGTTTTCGACCCCATCACATGCCTCCACTAAGGCAGTAAGCAGAGGGCCAACTGCCTGCTTGCAGGGAGAGAGGGCTTGAGAGAAACAAGCGCCTGTCTCAAAGGTCATCCAGCCACATGATAAACACATTTTCACTCCCCTTTTCATCACCCAAGATTTTTGCTGGGGTTGGTTGTGGTTTCTTTCATGGCAAATGATATTGGGTGAAAGAAATGTCAAGATAAAAGTTTCTCTTTTGTCCCTCTTAACACTCCCTTAGTACCTGGACTTCTCCAGCAGCCTCTGTCCACTTCTCTCCCTCTCCGCATTCCCTCCTTTTCTCTCCCATCATTGCCTCTTCTCAGCCTGGCTCGCACATCCTGAGAGAAGCTGGCCAGAAGTCACCATTGCCCCCCAGTCAAGAGAAGCAACAGTGCCAGAGGTTCAGGCGGCATCCCCCAAAATGTTTTAGCCTGCAATGCCCACGTCCCACCCCTGCACCTGCCCCTGCCCCAAGTCACTAGGTCATCTGAGCACTTTCTGATTTCTCCATCCCAAAATGCCCTCTTCAGCTTTCATCTTACTCAGCCTCTCTCTATAAAAGATGGACACTCCTTCTTCCTTACAACTCTCCTCCTTCTTAGATCTGGATTGAGCAGCACCTATGCTCCCCTGGTCTTCCTCCTCCTCCACTGCCACAGCTGCCCTCGGGATCTGATCCTTCCATCCACCCTTTAACCGCTAATGCTGCCCAAGGTCCTGTCGTTCGCCGCCCTCGCACTCTACCCTCCCTCACTGAATCATCTCAACCTCAGTGCTGCAACGCCTACCGAAACCTCAAAAATTCCCCAAACATCCCCTTTTCCTCCCCCTTCTTCCCCCTCCCCTTTTTCTCTCCCTCCCTGATCTCAGACACATATTTGCAACTGGCTGTTGACTGTTTAGCCAGGAAAACAAAAAGCCAGAGAGAACCTAAGATCACTAATTTCCTATAAATTAGTGTAAATAAAAGTGTCAGGACCACAGAGCAGACCAGGAGCAAATGGATAGATTTTAATTCAATACAAGGGGAAATTTTCTGACAAATAGCACCAGCCAGCAATGAATGGGCTCCTTCTGAGGTAGTCAGTTCCCCGTGACTAGAAGTGGGCAGAGAGGATTCCTGCACATAGTACCAGGCCAAACTATGCAACATCCATGTTCTCTCCCTATTCTGAGATGGACACTTCTCAGCTCAACATTCAGAGACTCGGATATATAGTTCCTTTGGGTTTTTTTCCTTCATTTTGTTGAGTACCTAAAATTACAATTCTTCATTACAGGACCCTGGTTAGAAATCACTGTGATATTTCCTTGTTATTCAGTTATTTTTTAAAATAACCATGATTTGTCGTTTATCAAATAATTGGCATTACAAATCCATTTGTCTTGACATAGACACACTCTAGTTTTTCGAGAGCAAGATTTACTTGGTCATAGATTGAATGCTTTCAGATTAAAGCACAGTTGCAAAGCTCTCTGGTTCTGGACATTTCTCTCTTTTCTATCCCTATACACTGTCTTAAAAAATAAGTTAACAGAAAAGGAATCGTAAGTAAATCCTAATCCAATTGAACACAAAGACTTTTTAAAGGTTCTTCAAATACCTTGTTCTTCCTTCACGACCGGCCTGGGATGTCATCAGTCAACCCTAAACACAGCCAAGGCAAAGGCGACACCATTACTGAAGACAGGAGAATTTGCGCCGGTATTTACTGAACATCTTCATGCTGGGCTCCATGCTATGAAACGCGGATGCTGAGGAGTAAGACATGGTCTCGCCCTCAAAGACCTCTCACCCTAAAGAGGGAGGCACACCTGTAAACCAGCGATGGCAGCAGAGTGAGCAGGCGGCGCGATGTCTGTCACAGAGGAGGGAAGACCAGCAGGGGAGGCAACTTTGTTTTAGAACATCTTGTCTTTATTTCAAATACCTACTTACAAAATCTATATTAAAATAACAACAATGTAACAGCAAATCGCCTACACGTCATCATCTAATCAAATTGTTTCCATTTGTCTGTCTTACTCCTTATCACTTGCATATGTATGCAATTTTTTCATATTTATAACATTATCAGAGTAGTTTTATAGTCTATATCTTTACTTATATCACTAGGATTTCTCCATTTCACTACTTTTTTTCCTTACTCACCCCCCCTCCCCTTTGAGATAACCAACGTTCTCAGCCTGGGGAGTTACCCTTCTATATCTTTCTCTATGCTTGAATCCTCCTATGGGGGGCAGCGGAATGATATTTAAATCAGAACAATTGACTACGCCACCCCCCGCCGTTCTCTTGACATACCCACTCTTCAGCCACAAAACCCACTCTAATGTCTTTAAGAGAATGTTGTTTTCTACATCCTTGCTCCAGTAGACCCTATTTCCCTCCTACCTGCTTTGCTGGAAGTAACCAGAAGGAAGAATGGCAAAGAACAACTTCTACACAGCAAGGATCCTAGATTTCACCGCTCCACAGATCACAGCAGCCGCAGCCTGTGAACAGTCTCGCTCAGACACTCATGCACATGTGCTCTCCAAACGATTGATGTTCTTCCCTCCCTCTGACATGTGTACTCTCCCCACCTCACGACTTCTGCTTTTACTCACAGTTCCAGCTGCCTTCTAAGTGCAGCTTACACATGGGCCGACATAACCCCTCCCCCACACAACCTTTCCCTTTGGCAATTCCGCTATGCTCCTCCAGCCCCCATTTCTTGGCTCAGTTTCCCAAGTTCATCTCATCACACCAGACGTACTCATTCTCACACTAGCCCGATCAGCTATGGCACTGGGAGGAGGACAGAGCGAGCCGTGGGGTGACATCGTCTATGACTCCCCTGTCAGCAAAGACAGTGGAAGGGGTATTTTTTCTCCCTAAGACAACCTTGGCCATGAGGCCCCTCACAGCCAAAGCCACTGCCTTCTCTCATAAGGTTCTGCCTTCTTCACACACTTTGGGGCCTCTGAAAAATAGCTTAAATAGTTAAATGTTCATTTAACTGCTATGCAGTTGCCTCTGATGTCAGATGTGAAACTTCCTTGATTCAGCCTCAACAAGGAGACAGGGAGGTCAGAAGCAATCCCTCAGTCTGCCAAAGAAGTAAAAGCGCCTTAGCCTGGTGCATCAAGGACCTGCCAAGACACGGCCCCAGCTCCCGCCTCTGGGCTCTCACACACCCAGGGGCAACCAAGAGAACACACTTCAGAGTCACGCATGGGTTTAGGTCCCAGTTCTGCCATTTCCTGGCTGTGTGATTCTGGAGAAGTCAAAACATTTTCAGTCTTATTTTTCTCATGTCTAAAATGAAGTAAATTTAAAAAAAAAAAAATAGTGACGTTATATAAGTAATTGTAAGGATTAAAAGATTAAATGGAAAATAGAGTTTAAAATCGTTTCATGCCAATTTAGGGTTATACAGTTGCCGGTTTAACTAATTTGCCATTTAGTTTTCCAGCCTACAGAAAGTCCTTGTTAACTCAGCAAATGTTCAATTTTCCATCAATAGGAATAGAAATCAGCCACAGAGTCACCAACGTCTCTTAGATTCCAATCCCTGGCCGGTAGTGCCAGATGGACAGAAGGAACACCAAAAACTCGTTTTCTTTTGCAGAGTAGTTTCAAGTCTCCAAGTATTTCAATCCCTAAAATGTAAGTCAGGGGCTTTAAACGAAGGCGTAAGGCTTTGTTCTGAAGTATCTAATTAAAAGGGGAAAAATAGTAGACAAAAGCATACTGGTTTTTTCCAACATTTATTTATAAAGAACACAACTCCCCCTCCTGACACAGACACCAACACTCACACGTTCCAAGGAGGAGCTCACTAAAAACAACACTGACAACAGAACTGGGGGACGGCGGGCACCAGGGTGTGCGCCCGACTCGGGGATCACTGCGAATGCTTCCTCAGATCCGACATCCCGCCTCAAAGAAAGGAGACCTCGATCTGGAGGGCCGGCCACCCACCACCAGGCACACTCAGTCCTCGGCATCATCAAACTGTCCCGTTTCAAAGACCATCTTGGAATAATGGGGTATCAGAGGAGGAGGGTGGTGCCAGCTGGGGTCGTAGATCATGTCTCCTTGCGCGGCACAGCACACCCAGGGTTTGACCTCTTGAGACAGGCAACCCTGGATGTCGTCAGCATCTGCAGGCAGTTTTAAAAAGACAGATTAAAGGAAGGCAGGCGGCCGAAAATAGCCAAAAAATGTCTAGGGGACAGACACTTGCACTTTGTTTAAAAACACTCACGTGTGCACAAGCGCTCACAGACACATACCACAGTCTTCCTCTGCTGAAGAATTGCAAGCTTGTTCATTCTAAGGCAACCCATAGTTGTGCTTCTCAGCCAAGAGTTCTTAGCAGCGCAGAGGAAGCAACTGGCTAACAGAGCGCTTCTGTCTGCGGCTGCTCAATTCACACAAAGATACTTGGAGAGAGGAACACTGTTTCAATGTTAAAACCAACCGATACATTATGGACTCAAATGCAAAATTTGCATTTTTTTTTTTATTTCAATATGAAGGAGAAGCTCTCACAGAAATTTCAGACCTGTAACAGACATTAGGCTAACTCACAGATGGGGGTCCCTCTTCCAAACTGTCTGCTTTTAACGGTAATCTGGTAAGAGCGTCTCAGAACCCTGGCCTAGGACCCCAGAAACTCCGCACCTACCGTACGGATTCCCTTGATCTGCTTTCAACTCCAGGTCCCAGTCCTCGTTAAAAAGATCAGCAGCCTGTTCCTTGGGCGGACAGCCAGACAGCCCTTCTGACAGCTCCCAGGTATTCACTTCCCCATCAGAATCCTCCTCATCAACGGTGAAGCCTTCCTCTTCAGAGTGGGTGCCCTCACCATGGGTAGGACTGTCATTAGGGATGCTCTGTGCTCCACTGGCTAAGAAATCGACAAAAGGAAGAAGGTATTAAAACCACTAGCAGACCAGATAGGACCTGCTCGTGGGCTTGGAAAATCTGGGGCAGCCTTACTAAGAGGACAGCAGTAAAACAAGGATAGAGAGTTCTCTGGCCGCCTGAGCACTCAAAATAATGTTGCTCTGTTTACATTTTTAGAAGTAAGGTTGATCATTTATTTTTAATAAGACATTTTTGCCTCAAGCAGGGCCATTCATTGCCAGGGCTCATAATCCACACTGCGAGTCAGGCAGTTTGTATTTTCAGGTAGTTTACACGTCATTGAGGCAAAGAGCCACTGGCAAATGATCAGCTTTCACAATATGAGCTTGATTTGAATGTTTGCTCTTCTATTCCTCCCTTCATCCTCAGAGAGTATGCAGAGGTGAGGACGAGGGGCAAGGAGGAGGAAAGCAGGCAGAAGGAGGACAGAACTGGTCAGTCACAACGAACAGCCATCATGTCTCTTCCTCTGGATTCAGGAAGATATATTCCAAAAGACCTCAAAATAATGGAAAAAAGTCTGGGGAAGGTTAACGGACCTCCAGGTACATAGTGCTATGCTGACGCCAGGTCAGAGGTGGGAAAAGAATCAGCCTAAAACCAGCCACGCTATTAACATTGTAATACTAATGACAGCTATAAGCAAAAAAGTAATAATTCAAGGCATGAGTTCTGAAGCCTAACTGCCAGGGTTCAAATCCCAGTTCTGCCAATTACCACATGTGTAACTGAGCTGAAATCTACTCAACCGATTCCTCAGTAACTTGAACAGAGAATTACCACACAACCTAGCAACTCCCCTCCTAAATGTATGCCCAAAAGAAGTGAAAACAGGTATTCAAACACCACATTTCAAGAATGTTCATAGCAGCACTATTCACAATCACCAAAGGGTGGAAACCATCCAAACGCCTATCAACCCATGAATGGGGAAACTACATGTGGTATATCCATATAACGGAATTGTTCAGCCACAAAAAGAGAATGAAGCACTGACACATGCTACATGAATGATCCCTGAAAATATTATGCTGAGTGAAGGAAGTCAGACATAACAGGCCACACAGTGTGTGAGTCTATTTACAAGCAACTCACATTTGCCTGTCCAGAACAGGTAAACTCACAGAGACAGAAAGCAGATTAGTGGTAGCTCAAGGAAGAGGAATGGGGCATGACTAAATGGGTTGCATTTCCTTTTAGGGTGATGAAATGTTCTGGAACTAAATACTGGTGGTGGCTGCACACCATTGTGATTGTGCTAAACGTCACTGCACTGTATACTTTCAAACTGCTAAATGGTAAATTTTATGTTGTGTCTTCTATCACAATTTAAAAAAATGTTTACTGTGCCTCAGTTTCTTCATCTGTAAAACGCAGACAGGATTGTTGTGAGTTGGGGGAAAGAAAAAGGAACACTTAGAATTGTGCCGGGCACACAGCGAGTCCTCAGGAAGTGTTAGTTGCTATGCCTGTATCTAGTTCCGAGCTTGGCGCCTTATCTAGACCACTACACCCAACAGAACTTTCTGTAATGATGGCAATGTTTTATAATCCGTGCTGTCCACGTGTGGCTACTGAGCACTTGAAATGTGGCTAGTACGACTAAGGCACTGACTCTTTCACTTTATTTAATTACAATTAAATTTAAATAGCACGGGTAGCTCGTGACTGTTACAGTCCTAGATCCTGTCACGCAATCTTCAAAACAACCCTCTGAGGTAGGCATTAGCTCCATTTGGAAAATGGGGAAAGGATACGGGATTTACCTAAGGTCACAAATCTCCCCAGAACTCTGACCCGGGGCCGAAAGTGAGAACCATTTTGCCCGGCTCCAAAGCCCACACTCTTTCCATGCCCGCTGTCCTAAGCTGTCATTCTCAGGAGAGGGGATGGGTCTAGACACAAGTCCAGGACGTCCCTTCAAGAAGCCCCAGCAGGGCTTCCAAACAAGGGCACTGTTGAAACACTAAGCAGAAAAGGCAACTCTGGAGAACCAGCTAGAAAGAGAAGGTAAACAAGACAGAGAGGCTGTCCTTCCTGGAGCCTCCTGGCTCTCTCCTGACCTTCCCCTCCCCACCCTATCCACCCCCACCCCACCCCGCCATCTACTTGCCTAGTCGATCCGTGGCCTTCTCAGTCTCTCTCCCCTGACCAGAGTGCTCCCCTGGGGCAAGGCCCACCTGCGGGAAGAAGAAACAATTACCCAGGACTCGGATATCTGGGGGATCCCCAGCACTCAGCTCTCCTCTCTCAGCCCCAAACCCCCTCTTCCAGACTCTCCTTTGTGAGGCTAGGGCTGGGACTCTGCAACCCACATTTCCGCTCTGCCCTGCTAGACTCGCAAGGCTGGAGGGAGAAGGGCCTTGTTCCTTCATATTCTGTAGGCATCACCCCAGTGACACTTCTTCACCCCTGGCTCTTCGCCCCTGGAGGCAGGAGCGCCTTCCTATAGCGGCCACTGATGCCCAGACTTGCAGAATCAGCCGCATCACTGGGCCCTCTCTTCAGAGGTCTGAGTCCCAGGCCCTCAGGACCCCTCCTCCGAGCTCAGAGGCTCCAGCACTAGCAGGGGCAGCGCCCCCTCCTCAGAGGTCACAATTTCAGCTCCGCAAAGCCTCTCCTCTGAGCTTGTACATTTTAATCACTCCAATCTTGTCTCTTTGTTCCCTCAGCCCTAGGGCTGGAAGCTGTCTCTTGCAGTTGCTACCTCCATGTTAATTTTTACCTTTTCAGTTACTTAACTTTTTATCTAGTTAACAGCTCTATCAAATTCTTGGTCTCCTGACGGATACACGGGGGCAACAGAGCTGCAGTTCCTCTGCCTTGCTGAAGGGAAATCTTCCCCCACAGCCAACCATACGCTTCTCTGCTCCCATCACTCAAGAGTTCCTGGAATCCTATCGCCTCCAAGACCTCTTCTACATGGAACAAGAAATGTTCACAGCCTGCATGAGAAGACCTGACTGCAAGCCCAACTCTGCCACTCATTCAGTGTGACCTTGGACACATCACTTCAACCACCCTGCCTGGGTTTCATCATCTGGTATTTAAGATGATTGTTCTGACCTTGCTGGGGGCTTACAATGAAATATTATTTATGAAAACACCTAGCACGAAGCAGAAAAGCGACATTTGTTGAATTTAAATCCACTTCCTTTGCGCCTACATCTAAACAGCACTTGGCACCAGCCCCATTAGCTCATGATCTTGTCACACCTGGATTTAAGGAGCCAAGCTCACCTCCTGTAGTCAGTGACAACCCTTGGTCACTACTGCAGGCCAGCTGGTGGGACCTCTCACCTGGACCATTGCCACAGCCCCCTAACTGCCTCCCCATTCACCCATCCTGCCCAGCCTACTCAGTGTTAATCACTTCTCTGCTCAAAAATCTTCAACGACCCCTCACAACCAGAGGCCACAGCCCTCACACCCCCTTCCCCTCATCCCCATCCACCTGTTGAGCATAGTTCTCGCTCAGGCTTTACGACCCGATCTCCCAACCATTTGCCTTGCATTTTTGCCCTGCCTTCCTCATATCCACACGTCTGCAGGCACCGCCACCCTCTCACCTTGGAGAGGACGTGCACATCCCTTCCTGCTATGCCAAAGCAGGACAAAGTCAGTCTCGTCCTATCCGCACTCCAAAGCAATTTTCTTTTAAGTCTATCACTACATTTTTCATACCTTATTCTGGTGAAGCACTATGATGCCTAAACAAACATTCCATCTCTCCATCCAATTAACAGGCGTGTCTGTCGTGCCAGGCACTATGCTAGGCGCCGGGGTAACAGCACTACACAGAGGGCTCCTTCCCTCGGGGAGCTCACCATCTAGCAGAGATTATTGACTGTAAACAAGGGCAGGTGATAGCAGCAATAACGGTCTTTGAAAAACCAGGAGCTGTGTGGCGCGCAAATGAAAACAAGTTTCTGGAAAACCTGCGTCAAACCGGGCCTTTTGGTCTCAGTAAACAGAAAAGGAGAGAGCGCATGAGACATCATCTGGCGCTCAGGGTGAGCTGAGCATCCCCACCAATGGACACAGGTCCTTCAGGCAGAGTCCCTCTCCCCGCCGCCCTCACCTGGCCCCTGTCCAGGCCAGCAGGGGCCCCCGGCTCCCGGGCAGCCGCATCACCTCTCATTTGGCAAGTACGCAGAGGAGCCCACAGCCCGCCCTCGGCGCCCAGTGCGCCCACCCACGCCCTCGGGTGCCCCGCCCCGCAGCCCAGCGGTCCCTCGGTCCGGCCGTTTCCAGCTCGAGCGCGCGCCCAAACGGCGCTCCACGTTCGCGGGGCAGCCCGAGGCGCTTCCCAGGCTCCGTGCCCCCGCCCGGCCGGGCCCCGCGAGCCCCGCAACTTCCCGCCCCGGGCCGCAGGTGGTGGCCGCGCTCACCCCCGAGCTGCGGGGCGCCTCCTGCGCGCTCGGCAGCGGCAGCCCCCGAGGCGGCTCCGCGGCCCCCAGCACCGGGGCCCTGGCTGCTTGAGGGTCCATGCCCGGCGGTCCGCCGCCCGGCGCCCTGGACGCTCGCTGCTCGGCCACGTGACGCGCCGGCCTGGCTGCCAGCCCGAGGATACGCCGCGGAGGGGCCAATCAGCCGGGGGTGCTCCCGGCCGGCGGGGGCGGGGCGCTGGGGTCACGAGGAAGCCGGGGGCGGGGCGAGAAGGGAGGCGCAGGAGGGGCGAGGCGCGCCCCACAGCGAAAGGCCCCCCATAGGTCCCAGAACCCGGTTTTTGTGATTTTTGTAGCTCCTGCCGGCGCAGATGCCAGGGCTGGACGACCAGCTGGGTTTAGAATGTCAGGTGTTATCCCTGCCCAACCACACCGGATATGCTTCAGCTTCAAAACCTCGAATTCCTGTTAAAACAATTACCGGAGTCTACCTGACAGTGTATAGAGCTCAGCTCTCAAAACTTTTAATGCAGTTGTAGCTCCAAGCACATTTCACTCTCTCACTTCCCAGCTTTCTCTAGAACTCAGGCTGGGATGTAACTCACCCACAAATGGACGAGACAACTCAGCAGCCCGGTCCTTCTCCACCTTGAGTTAATGATAGTTCTTAAAGTGAATCCATTGGAAACCAGGATAGACGAGCAAAGCAAACTCTTAGAACGTGCAGACACCGTCGGGCACTCAGTCACAGTAACCCTAACCATCCTGTGCTGTGACGGCACAGTCTGACCTGGCTCTCGCTCAATGCTCAAAGTCTGGCCCTCTACAACCTGCAAAAGCAGCAAAAGATACGCAGGGCCCGAGCTAGGGACAAACCCAGCTCTCCCAACAGCCTTCACAGCGTCGCACCGCACTGCCTAAACCCTAACAGACCTGGTCACGGTGGGAGAATCACATTCACGTTTAGGGAGCAGGAAAGCTGGGAGCTGGGATTCCTTGCTCACCAGGCCACCTTAAGACAATCTTTCGTGACATTTAGAGACTATTCCTTCATCTCCCTCAAAGAACGTGTTGTTTATAAACTACATAAGGCATTTGAAAAAATTTAACATAACAGTTGATAGTCTTTTTTTCCTCTATGTGGACTTTCCTACAGGAAAGGGAATGTGACCAACTAATGTGTGCCCTATTTTGCCCATGAGTCAGTTTCCCCAAATCTAATTGGATCTAGGTCAACACTGTCCAATAACCTTCTGCAACGGTGGAAATAAAAGTTCTATTATCTGTGCTGTTCAATATGGTAAATATGCAGCTAGTGAGCACTTGAAATGTGGCCAGTGTAAATGAAAAACTGAATTATTTAATTTCAATACATTTACATTGCCACATGTAGCTAGAAGCTATGATATCTGACAGTGCAGCTTCAGGTGAACTAGCAAGATGTATCTCCTTAACTTGCAATGGTGAGATCCAGACACAGGGCTGTGATGACCCAGGGTGACACACACTCACAGCCTTGCTTTAAGGAGTCAACCATCACTCTCTTTGCTCTCATCTCTTATGTGTAATATGCATCTCTTTCCTAAAATAAAAATGCCATGTAAGGATTTAGAATGTTAAACTTCCCAGGACTTAATGGAGAGAGGAAAGAGGAAATTTTTATTTTAAAACAAATAACAAGCAAACAACATTTAGAAGACAAACATTTAAAATAAAAATGCCCTAAAACAGACTTTACTATTCAAAGGAATTTAATATATAATAAAGGCAGTACCACAAATCAACAGAGAGAAATTAATTACGAGCCACAAATGGTGCTGTGGAAAATTTAGTTAACCACTTGGGGAAAACCTGAGTTGTCAACCTCAGCAAGAGGAAAGGTTTTCAGCAAGAGAAATCACACACTCACACACACACACACACACACACACACACAAAATCTCTGGAAATCAAAAAAAAAAAACACCACACACACAAAAAAAGCTGGGGGTAAATATCTGCAATAAAGGAGAGACGAACTAAAAATTAATATTCTTAATATATAAAAAACTCTTATAAATTAGTAAGAAAAAAAGTTCAAGGGCAGACCCGGTGGCATAGGGGTTAAGTTCATGTGCTCTACTTAGGCGGCCCGGGGTTCACAGGTTCAGATCCTGGGCGCCGACACAGCACCGCTCATCAAGCCACACTGTGGCAGCATCCCACATAAAATAGAGGAAGATTGGCACAGATGCTAGCTCAGAGCCAATCTTCCTCTCTCTCACACACACACACACACACAAAGTTCAAAAAATAGTCCCAGAACATGAAAAGACAGAATTCACTAACATCAAAGAAATGCACACTAAAATAATAATATATCACTTTTCACCTATTAAAATGATAAAAATCAATATAATACCCACTGCAGGTAAAGGTGTCAACATTTTCATACATTGCTTGAAAATATTTTCATACATTGCAAATTGGCAATACATATTCTTTAAAATAGTTATATCCTTAAATCCAATAATTCTACTGTCAGATGTCAATCTCTTATAAAAATAACCAGAGGACTGGCCCCGTGGCTGAGTGGTTAAGTTCACGCCCTCCTCTTCGGCAGCCCAGGGTTTCGCCAGTTCGGATCCTGGGCACGGACATGGCACCGCTCATCAGGCCACGCTGAGGCAGCATCCCACATGCCACAACTGGAAGGAGCCACAACTAAAATATACAACTATGTACTGCGGGATTTGGGGGACAAAAAGCAGGAAAAAAAAACAAAAAAGAACCAGAGATGTGAACAAAGATTTATAAAAATCCTCATCAACAGCATTTATAGTAAGAAAACATCAGAAATGACAAGATCCAACCACAAGGGATTAGAAAAATAAGTCCTGGCTCATCTGTACAATGGAATGTTATGAATTCATTCAATGTTTCTAAGGCTATTTAATGACATAGAAAAATAACATAGTATTAAGTGAAACATTAACACTTCACTGAATGCTTCTCCCAGTGACATCACAATGTTAAGTTAAAGGATATAAAATTCAAACAGTTGCCTCCCCTGCTCCCAGAATGCCTTCTCTGCCCCAAGCCATCCTCCATCCTTGCTTGGAAGCCCTTCTGTGCTGCTCTAATCTACTCCTTACCCCTGCCCTTCTTTTGCTGCCGGCCTTCCCACTGCAAACAGATCAGTCCCAGAGACAGAAGACATTTTTATAACGTCTTAATCTTCTTAAAAGATAACTTTTCCCCCCATACCCAGAATCCTTTTGCTGCTTCAACCAGCTCTCTCAGGATATCCAGCTGTTCCTCCAACCTCTACTTCCATCCCAAAAAGCTTCCCTTCCTTCCTGCTTGTGATGGGCACTGAATGAATGAATGAATGAGTAAATGATCTAACAGTATAAATCCAACTCTGAGAAAGGAAATCAAATTACTAAATTTAACTCCAGATGATGGGATTACAGGATGCTTTTATTTTCTTCTCCACGTTCTTCTATTCCCTCCATATTTTCTACAACAAATGTATACCATGTATATTTTTATAAGAAGGAGCAAATAAACACACTGAACTATACTTTCTCCTCCATTTTAACTGGCCATTAGGCCTAGATTAGAAATACTCATGCTTTACCAGAGGTAATAAAGGAAATTCAGTTGCATGATTTCCATGTATTTTGGAAAAGATTTAAGACCTACAGTAGGTCCAGCCTCAACAAACAGCCTCTGGCCACTAAACGGCAGTTCTCTTTTCTTTTCTGGAACTAAAGATTAACGCATTAACAAAAGTAAAGCATGTCTCAAAATCAGACAGCCACCTGTCTGCCAGCTCTAAGCAAACTGCAGATGAACTCTTATTACAAATCTGCCTGGAGGGCTCACGATACTATCTGACAAGCCGGCTGTGCTCCTCCTCTTTTCACAAATGGCCGGCCTGATGCATGGCATGTTTAGCTACAAACACCTCTGCTGACTCTCCCTGCAACATTTTCATGGCTCGCCAGTAGATCTGTCCGCAGTTCTCAGGTTTACCAAGGGGGTGGTTCAATTCTTCTTTGATGTAATCCATCCAAAGATCTTTAAAGAGAAGCAAACATGCAATTAGATAACTGACAAAGCCTTACTAGGTAAACTTAATTATATAATATCGATCCCATGCAAGATTTCTAAGAACCTTAACTTCTTGCTATTAGTTCCCCGGAACCCTATGTGAAACAATACCTCTCTTAGCTTCTTTATACTAAGGTATGTCAAAACTTTTTTTTTTTTGAACAGAAAACTTCACTTTAATCAGGACAGTCTATGTATTTCATAAACTCAAAAAAACTAAATATTTCAGAGGGAGGATTTTGCTGAGTCTCTTTCAAGGTACAACTGACCTCACTGAGTTCACTATAACCCTGTCACCACGCTTAACAAAACTTGCATGTGTTAGTGAAAGTGCTAGTGTCATTCATTTCACCAGGAGATCTGTTGAAACCTTCTAAGAGCTAATGTATTTTTTAAATGTGAGTTTAACAACTATACATGTCACTTTTGAGTTCATAAGTAAACAAATTTTACATGACATACCTATACCCAGAAGTACGTTTTACAAATTCTATCAATGAGGACAATGTGGCAACAGCCAATGACAATGAATGTCAATTAGCATTCCACTACCTCTTTACTATCAACTCCTCCTCCTTTTTGTTCCGACCTACATTAACCTTTCTCTTACAAATATCACACTGTTTTAAGAGAACCAAACCAAACAGATCTTTCTCTAATCCCGAGTTCTTAATAGAACACCCATGGACTCTTCGGCTTGTGAATTTGAAATTATGAACAAAATTGTCTGCAAGTATCTATGCACAAAGCGAGGGAGGAGGCAGGGGAAGGATTCAAGTTGTATTCTCAAAGAGGGCCAGGACTCCAAAAAAGTTAAGAAACGCTCTTCTAACCATCCTGATAGGTTTCAGATGACAGATGCAAACAGACTCGTGTGTCTATAACTGAAGTTTACTTACCAGAATCTACAGATCCAAACTCTCTCAAAGCCCTCTCATAATATTCTCTTAAGTTCGCCATCTTGCAGGATTCCTAACAAAAATAATCAGACAATCTTGCCTCAATGGCCCAATTTATCATGTCACAAATTCATTTCAACCACACTATGACATAGCTACCATCTACTAGGTATCTGAAGGGAAGAAGGGTCAGAATTTAAGATGAACACAGTCTGGCCGTCATCTCATCCAGGGAAAAGTCAAATGCACTGCTCACCAGAGTGAAGTAAATGTCAAGCAGTCATACAAGCACTTTGCTATGGTAGCATGGAAAAAGCCTAATTAATTCTCAGTTGGAGGAACACAGGCAGCTTCACAGGAAAATAGATTTTAAAACCCTGAGGGAGGAGTAGGATTTAAATAAATAAACGGGGACGGTTCCACTCCCTATAGCTGGGAACTTCTTCCTCTTGAGTATCTGGGCTCTGGCACATAGTAAGCTATGTCCACCTCAGAACTTTTTATATCACGGCAAAGTATATATAAGTACTAGTTATTTGACCTTTAGCAAGTTTTTTTATTCACTAGATTCCTGGTTTATTATAAAACGACACAATTCGGCAACAGCCAGATGCAAGAGACGCAGGCAAGGGACGAGGAAGGGGCAGGGGCCTCCACGCCGTCTGCAGGCGCGCCACCCTCCCCACATCCGCACGTGTTCACCAAACTGGAAGGCCCCCCTTCAACAAGTTTTTTAACCCTCTGACCTTAAAAGTTTCCTCACCCATGAAACAAGGATAATGATATATCTTATAGAAACTGTGAAGGTTAAATTAAAATGCTGATTCATTATGCACCTAGCAGAGTAGCCGATATTAACTTTACAATCAAATGTTAATTCTTGACCTCTCCTTCTGTTTAAATGTGTTCTCTTTTGTTTCATTTTCAAAGCAGATTATCTTCAGTTTAAAAATCTTTCTGTACAGTCAAATAACTATTTCCTCATTCAAATTTCTCTTCCCTGAGACTGTATTATTATATAGGAAGTCAATTTAACCTCACAGCTTACACACACATGAAAAACAGAAGCACACCTTCTTAGGGGCTCATGATGTGCATGCGCGGCACCGTGCAGTCCTTCCTACCCACTATGTCCTCCGGCCTTACAACCCTCACACCCCTGAAACAGGCATTATGACCTCCTTTACAGATGAGGACCACAAGGCTTAGAATTAAGTGACTTGCTCAAGGCACATGACTATTACGTTATTAATCCAAGCCCTGGCTATTAATTATTATGCTATACTATCTCTCATACTGTAGGATTAGAACAGATAATTGATCCATACAATGATCAAAACTATGAAAATGAGACTTCAACCTAATGATTTTTCAAAATTCAAATAAAAATAATAAACAGCAATCAAAATAGCAAAATAAAGGAGAAAAAGCAAAACAATGCTTGAAGGAGGTGTGAGGAAATAGGCATCCTGATCTATCTGCTGATTATCACCATAAATAAGTACAATTCTTTTCGAGGACTATCTGGCAATATATAAACAACCATAAAAAAACTCCTATCTCCAGTCCTAGAAATTTATCTCAAGAAAACAATTCAAAAGAAAAAAAATGCCACATAAACAAAACGCTTGCAGCAGTCCTTGTTTTCAGTATCAAAAATCTGGGGCTGGCCCCGTGGCCGAATGGTTAAGTTCACATGCTCTGCTTCAGCAGCCCAGGGTTTTGTTGGTTCGGATCCTGGGCGCGGACATGGCACTGCTCATCAGGCCATGCTGAGGCGACATCCCACATGCCACAACTAGAAGGACCCAGAACTAAAATACGCAACCATATACTGAGGGGCTTTGGGGAGAAGGAGGAAAAATAAAAAAATAAAATCTTTAAAAATCTGGAAACAACCTACACGTAATGGAATAGTTAAGAAAACTATGGGTTTAAGAATAAAACCACAACCATTAAAAATGATAACCATGTGAAAACACAGGCATGCATTTACAAAATAATGTTAAGTAAAAGACAAAAAGAGAGAGGTCAGCCCCGTGGCACAGCGGTTAAGTTCAGCACACACTGCTTCAGTGGCCCAGGTTTATGGGTTCAGATCCCAAGCACCAACCTACACCACTCATCAGCCGTGCTGTGGCAGCAACCCACATATAAAAAAGAGGAAGACTGGCAACAGATATCAGCTCAGGGCCAATCTTCCTCAGCAAAAAAAATACATATACATATATTAAAAAAGAAAGAAAAAAGAGAAAACTTCCATGTGAGACATATGTCAGAAATAAAACAGTACAAAACGGTGTATATATGTAAACAAAAAATTAAAGAAAACAGTAAAAATAAATACGGTTAGTTGTGTTACTGTAATGAGATTACAGACACATTTGGATTTTTGTGCATTATTTTTTTAACTGAGACTTCCTGTATTTTTCCTCACTCACAAGTTCAGTTAAAAACACCAGAAACAGGGGCCAGCCCGGTGGTGCAGTGGGTAAGTTCACATACTCCACTTTGGTGGCCCAGGGTCCAGCAGTTTGGATTCTGGGTGCAGACCCACAAACCACTTATCAAGCCATGCTGTGGCAGGCGTCCCACATATAAAATAGAGGAAAATGGGGATGGATGTTAGCTCAGGGCCAATCTTCCTCAGCAAAAACAGGAAGATTGGAGGCAGATGTTAGCTCAGGGCCAATCTTCCTCAGCAAAAACAGGAAGATTGGAGGCAGATGTTAGCTCAGGGCTAATCTTCCTCAAAAAAAAAAGAAAGACACCAGAAACAGTTACTAAGTGCCTACTCTCTACCTCACAACCCAATACAAGAGACAAAGAGGATGCTGAGGAGGCAGACAAGCAGCAGCTCACCCAGCCTGGCAGGGTGCTTCCAAGAGCTAACATCTGAGCTTTCTGTTTTTCAGACATGGACTTTCTCTTCTTTGTTTGACTATCAATCATTCCTAAACCGTCTCTATGAAAAAAGAGTTGAATAAAGGGACCAGAAATTTATACTGCATTGTGATCAGAGCTTTTTAAACAACAAGATGCTGCCATAGATTAGTAACCACTAATACATTTTCCCAGACAAGAAATGCATAGACAGAACACTTACTTGCTCCTTTTCAAACTGGATTATTTTCCTGAAAAAATCAACTGAAAATGGACGGCTTTCCTGTAAACTAAAAGGAAGAGGGGGGACTGTTATCTCCCACAATGACAGAAAGCCTCTTACTGCCCGTAAATATAAATACCTGTGCCAGTGCCCCCACAACACACGGTTTAACAAAGACCTGGCTGCAGTTTAATGCAGGCACTGACCTGCCCCCAGTCACTCAGTGCTTTCAACCTCCAACGACTGACTCTTCACAACCACCCAACTCTTTCCTAGTTTTCTTCCTGTTCTCTTCTTTCTTACTTTTAGAGTTCTAAGTTCTCTATTATATCTCAAGGTCTTTCTCAAGGAGAATATTAATTCCGTTTCTAAGAATATATTCTAAGGAAATAATTTCCAATACGGACAAATAATATTTGTGCAGAAATGTTCATCAAAGCAGTATTACTGTGGCCAAATAAATTACGGCACACCCACAGAGCAGTATGTCATACGGCTATTTTTAATAAATGATATTTATGAAGGGTTGTTACTGATCAACTGCTTTTACTGTTCAAAAACAGAAACAGAAACTTTGAAAAGGGCTCCGGGGTTTATTCCTCAGATACCATGTGTGATACACATCATCTCGGCACGAGCGGCTGAGCACAGGGTGGAGAGACCAGTAGCGTGAGTACCTTTTAAACACAGCTCTGGCCTTTTTGTAGCCAGCACTTCGATAAGCCCAATCCAGGTACTTATTCTTCAGAGTGACTGAGTCGGAACCTCTGACAGCTAAGATAGCTTTCTACAATTTAAAAGAAAAAAGAAACAAGCTGCATGAGGAAATTTCTAAATAGTAGAACAAATTTTCCCAGAACGCCCCAGGCCACTCAATTAACAGTGCGCTAGAAGCACGTGCTTTAGACATCACCCTAAAGCTGGCCAGCTAGTGACCCTGCACACTCCTTCCCCACACCCCATGGACTCAGAACGTGGAGCCAGACCTTAAAGACTGCTTCAGTGTCTTCTTGGCTTTGGGCACCTTCACTCCACTCTGCCCAAGAAATCCACAATGGCAGACAAACCTGCTCACAATAAAAAGTGTTAGAAAATGATAGCTTACCACTGTGCTCTGAAAACTAGTCACTATAAAGACAGGTTCCTCCTAAGATAATCAATATTTGAAATATGGATTCATTCCCAGTCTGTCCGTTACTCAGTGCCCGGCAGTAATGGTATGCCAGGATACAGACAGCGTTCTCACCAAATCACCCACAGCGATATTCTTCTGCTAATTCTGGTTCCCTTCTGTTGGGGAATACTGCCTATAGTTATTATCATTAATTATCTATTAGTTAATTAAGCAACTAACAGTCCATGGCTAGTAAGACCTATAGCTACCCAGGTCATTGTCTCTGCTGTCCAGGACCCACAACTCAAGTACTAACTCATCCAGGCTGAACCATCTGATCACTCACGTCCCAGAGGCACACACACAAATGAGCAAGAAAGTAGTTAAGATTGTGCTCTCACTTCACCTTCTGGAATACTTTTTTCCTAGTAATATGAAAGATTCACTGTAAAGGTTTAAAGTTTAGTCTTTTAAACATTAAGGTTTAGAAATATATGTGTGTTTAAACTCAGGCTTAAGTTCAGCTTTGGAAGGAAGTGAGAATAACATTCTATTAATATTTCTCCCTTGTAAGGTACCTAAGTCAAATAGAAAATTTTAAATAATGTAGTCAATTTTCAAATAAAGAATTAGAAACAGGCTATAAATGGAAGAAAATTCTTCTACTCTTAACCCTTGAACCATCACTACTTAATAAAAAATGCACTCCAGAGCCAGCTCTCATCAGACAAGTACGCTCCAAATGAGCTTTGGGTGCAGTCTTAAAATGTTTCCCAAATAGAATGAAATACAAAAGACCCGACTCACAGACCTGGGGTTTCAGGTGCACAAAGGCTTCTTCAAAAAGCGCAGCCACATCAGGGCTCTTGGAGTCAATCAGCACCTGCAGCTTCATCTGCCACATTGTCACAGAGTCTCGAAACAGTTCGGTCCCGGCCACTACCACCTCCAGAGCCTCCTTAATGAAGTCATGGTGCAGCAACAACTCAATCTAGATAAGACAAAGGATCATTGGAAAAGTAACTACTGAAAGCTCAATTATCTTTGTGAACGGAGACAAGCAAAGACCTCATTTGAGGCAACAGATTCAACAGCCTTTCGCTAAACCTTTTACCATGGCTGCCAAACAGGCACAACATGAAGGATTTGGAATTCTTCCTCCATTCCCAGCTCCCATCCCCAAGGGCTATCAAAAAACAGGGAAGAGGTAAAAAGGAGAGGGCCTGAATAATTTAGACTGAAAGTAAAGTGCTTAACAAAATAGCTCACTATAATAAAACTCACACCCGCCAAATAGAAAATAAAAATCAGCAAAGATAAAACCAATATTTGCGGAGTGGTAAGGAAACAAATTTATTCAAACAGAGTTGGGCACACTGTCAACCAGTACAATTTTTCTCCAATGCAATTTAACACCATGTAATAAGAGTTATGAAAGTGTTCATATCTTAAACTTGGGAATTTTACCCTAACAACTATGACCCCACAAATAGATGAACAGAAGAAATCTTATCTGTTCAAAATGCTTCTATCCACACTATTTTAACAGGAAAAATAAAGTTTAAAACTAATCCAGTTTTATAAAATTGTGAAAAAGCCAGCAAAAGGCAGTATATAATCCATCCATTCAGCAAGCATTTTTATTGCATACCATACATGCTTATCAATAAAGAGGAAACCAGGTACATTCCCCACCGCCCATAGAGCCTCCAGTCTAGCAGCAGAGACAGTGGGACACGTGCCACAACAGTGAAAAAATCACATGCTACAGGACTACGAAGCAGGAGCACCCAAAAGGGTCTACAGCAGTGATGAGAAAGGGCTCCCAGAAAGGAAGCACCATTTACCATGAAAACTGAAGGAAAAGCAAGCATTAGTCAGGTGAAAGCAGAGATCCCCAGGAAAACAGAAGACTCTCCCAACCAGCACATGTAAGAGGCTGAAGATGAGAGACAGCTGGGAAATCCAAGGACATATACAAGGAAATGCACGTTCAGAATGGCTGGAGGGTGGGATGTAAACTAGAGCCCTGGCAGGAGAGCCTGGAAACACAGGCAGGGGCCAAATTAAGGTGAACGGGCAGCTTTATCCAAAGGACAATGGGAAGCTACAGAATAATCTGATAATCAACTCTAAAAAACCACTCTGTGGAGAATAATCTGGAGAAAGGATGGGTATAGAATCAGCTAAGCCTTTTAAGTTTAGAGGCAGTATGCTGAGGAACTCTCACTAAGGCAAGGTCGCCAACTGAGTGATGAAGTGGTAGGCTTAGAAGGGCAGCACCAGAAATGTGAGGAGCAGAGGATCTTTGAAAGAGCTGGAGTGGTGAATGGCAAAAGAAACAATAATGGAAAGAGAGCAGGACTGCCAAGGCAGTACCCAAAGCAAAGCCCATCTGAACTGATGTGGTGCGACTGTCTTGCCAGCATTCAACAGCTCAAACAGGAGAAGTTGAACTCATCCAGGCCTCAGATATTTCACAGACAGATGCCATAATGGGAAAGGGGTACCTCAGTCATGGTATAACACAGTAGGCTACTATATAGTTTACGTAGATATATGTTAAAAGTACAGAAAAAATTAATATAAAAATAGTAGAATACAGGGGCTGGCCCCGTGGCCGAGCAGTTAAGTTCACACGCTCTGCTTCAGCGGCTCAGGGGTTCGCCAGTTCAGATCCTGGGCGCAGACATGGCACCGCTCATCAAGTCATGCTGAGGCAGCATCCCACATGCCACAACTAGAAGGACCCACAACTAAAAATACACAACTACATACCCGGGTGCTTTGGGGAGAAAAAGGAAAAATAAAATCTTTAAAAAAAAAAAGAATACAATACAAAATAGCAAGACATTAACTGCAGTTAGTAAAACCTGCATAAAGATATGAATCAAAAGAGGCAAGAGTAGGGGCCACCTGCTGGCATGGCGGTTAAGTTCACGTGCTCTGCTTCAGCAGCCTGGGGTTCACGGGTATGTATCATGGGCGTGGACCTACACATGGCTCATCAAGCCACACTGCGGCAGCATCCCATATAACACAGAACAAGATTGGCACAGATGTTAGCTCAGGGGCAATCTTCCTCAAGCAGAAAATAAAATAAAAATACAGACATGCAAATTAAAAACAAAAAACAAGCTAAGAGTTAGATAAATAAAGGCACTCAATAAATATAAAGATTTCTGTCCTTTTCTCCCCTACAAAGGTATGTAAATATATTAACACATTCATCATCTCATGTAATGCTCTCAACAACTTTGTGAGGTGGCAAAATAAGGACCACTTTCACTATTTTAAAATCACGCAGACAAACTCAGAAAGGTTAAGTGGTTTGCCCATCACCTAGCTATTAAGTGGCAAAACCCAGTCCAGACATGTGTATTCCCACACACAGTATTCTGGTCTCTCTAACAATCCTTACTCACCCCAGAGGGCAGGGACGGGTTAACATGTCTCTTACTATGTCAGCTTCTAAAACACAGGAACATAGCTAATTTGTCTTGATTGTACAAATGGTTATTCTGGGCCAGGTCTATTCAGGATGTTCAGTAGAAGACAGATGCGTAGACAAACAAACCAAAATTGTGACTCTTTGTACTGAGTGTTTTCCACGATGTAAACTTCCACCCTTTCCGGGTACAGATTTCATTTCTGGCACACACCAAACACTGACAGCCAAATAGAAACACTCTTTACAACTACCACAGCAAACTTCCAAACGGGCTGTCATAAAACTATATACATATTAAAACACATGACACCAGCAGGAACCAACCATAATTAAGTACACGTAGTTGGCAGAGAATGAATGTGTTCTCCATATCCTTACCCACTGCTTATATTGGAATTCCAGTAGAAGTTTGAGTTCATGCGCCTTCCTGAATGCAATCATGGTTCTTTCCAGCCTCTGAAATCAGAAAAATCTATCAATTCATTACAAAGATCCCAGCAGGAGCCTTTTGCTTCCGACAGGAACCAATGGCACTTTTGCTCATTTCTGAGACTTGAGAGAAGGGACTGAGGTGGTTACACTTATGATTAAAAGAGCTGGGCAGCTGCACCAAGCACAGCCCAGTCAGACAGCAACTCCCAACCTGGTGGCCAGTATAAGGGCAAAGCAGACTCGGACCTTCAGAACGACAGGTCCTCACAGGAGAAAGTGGGTAAGAACGAAGTTCTTGGAAGCTGTCCCAGACCCCAAAAGAGCTGTAAGTTCTTCCTTCAGACAAGAGTCACTTTCTGGTCAGCTCTATAACCATGGAACATAAATCATTACCTTCTCTCTGAGGAACTGACTGTTGGTCTTCTTAGCAAACCTTTCCAAGCAAAAGTTGATGTAACACTTCCACATGGCCTCTAAAAAGGTCAGAAAGATGACGCTATCAGATCACCAATTCTCTCAGTTTAACAATCATGACACACATCTTTCCTTTGATGGGAAAACTCCTCTGAAGAAGACTTAAAAGTAGTCTGATGAAAAAAACAGTTATCCTGACTACAGCCAATCAAATATCTCAAATACTGGCGCGGGCGGGGAACGGGACTGAGCAATGACATAAATATAAAAATTAAAAGCCTTATCAAGCATGTTATATATTTTCTTTACCTTTATTCTCCAATATTACAAAGTTAAAAAGTAAATCTATAACAAAAGATAATTAAGGAATGATAATTAAACAATCTTCTGAATTATCATTTCCTAAGTGTCATTTCTCCCAAATAGGTGAACATAAATACCACTACCGTCAAGAAAGGTCATAAAAGCTCCATCTTTCACCACCAAAGAAAGAACAAACTGGAAAGCCAGGCACACTGTAAACTGTCACAAAGAGACTCCTGCAATCGATTCTGGCAGTGGGAATGGAGCTTCCGTTTCACATTCATGAACACTCTTACTTCTACACCACACCATGGCTTGGCGAAGATCACCTGTAGGGAGAGTCTTTACTGCCTCTTCATATACAGCACAGCACCTCTCCTCCTTCCGGCACACCTCCACTGCTTTGGCTTGTTTTGTCGTAGGCTGCTCTTCTCCTGACTGCGACTCGATCTCTAATTCTCGCCGTGCCACATAATCCCAAGTGAGGGGGTCATCTGTGTGCAGAGCCTGAAGGCTGGAAAAAAATACAGTTTACTGGCATCAGCCTTATGACACGAGACTAACTCAGAACATCAACCAGAGAGACAGTTCCCTGTGCTCTAAAGATGGACCCAGGACATCCCTTCAACAACTGCATACCGTAAGAGCCACTTCCCAACAGGCTCGCCAGGTACCTTCCCTCATCTACAAATGCTGTCAATGGATCAGAAGCGTCACACACTTACTGGGCTTCAGAAGGGTTCAGACATCATTCACAAATGTTAACTGTCAAGTTAGCTCTCAAAGTCATATCAGCAGGTTATGTGTGACAAGACAAATACCCTGGAGACCCGGAGAACCTTGGTACATCCAGGATCTTGATTTTCTATAAGAGAGGCTGAGAAAAAGCGCACAACCTAACCCTCTACCAAAACGCTGAAGATACCCAAAGAGCAGATTGATCCAAGTTCCACTTCCTCTCCTGTGAAAGCAAGGGTGCTGTGTCTGAGTGAAGCACCCACAAGGCAGGCTACAAATAATTCTCAAACCGTACAATCAGACATGAAAAAATAAAATTACCTGCAGCACTCAACTATAAACATTCATGACTACAACTCACATTTTAGGGACAAAAGACATGCCAGGAAAGCAGAAAGACAGATTTTTACGTAAGCCATATTATATATTTGTTACTGAATAAAGGCAAACTATTTCCCAAGGGAAACCAATAAGTGAGTCAAACAACTTCTCCAGAAAGATATTTTTGATATGATTTACTATGCTACAATGGTCCTAAAACTTAGCATCCTTCCAAGGATTTAGTGTGGTATCTTCTTTCCCCCTTTCTACATATCCACAACCTCAAATCCTTACCACAAGATCAGAAATAAACATATTCACCTTCCACTATTTTACTTACTCATCATAAATTTCTTTTTGAAGATCTTTGGCAAAGTCGAATAGCTGTGCAATTGAAAGCAGTGACACGTGAAATTCTGCATCTAAAATTTAAAAAGCAAGGGAGGGGAGTAAGAATCTAAAGCATCACTTTACTCTTAAGAGTATCACTCTCTTGATGTACTGGAGTTAGTTCTTTTGTTTTTTTAAATTGGGAAATAGGTCACACAGAAAAAAAACCTCATAATCCCACCACACAAGCAAAGCTATTAATATTTTGGGGTATTCACAATTACTTCTAACTTTTATTCTAAACTTAAGGGCATAAAGGAATGTATTAAATCATCTATTTCTTTTCAACTCCCCACATAATTAATACCCAATAAAAACTTATTGAAATGTTCAAGTATATCCTAATGGGCAATATGCCTTTCCTGAAAGAAACAGGACATTATTCCTACAATCAGAGTTTTATACATATTCTAGCAGAGTTTCTTACAGAAATTTTCAAAATCAGCAAAAGGTCTTCCTCATTATAAACAGAATGTTTTGCCTTCCCACTTTAATTAAATTTTCAAAACATACCTACCTTTAATGATGCTAAGAGAATTTTTGTAGATGATCCGTGCCAACTCGCCCTTAAGGATTTCTTCAGGATAATCAAGAGCCCCCTAAAGAGTGTTATATCGAACATAAGAGGCAGTGCCAGTAAGTAGAAAAAGCACCAGGATGAAAATTAACAGTCCTAGACTACCCATGCCATATGATTTCTAGCAAATCACGTCTCTCTCTGGGTCAGTTCCCTCACTTGTAAAATGTGCAGCTTGAACAAGACCATTGATCTTCCAACTGTGTTCTCTCAGGCGCCTGGAGTGGCAGCAAGACCACATGGCTTAAGGCCTCACTGTCCATTTAGACCAGAATAGGTCAGGTTTTACAAGTCTTCATTACCCTTCTGTGTAAGATTGTATTTGGATAAAGAAATTCAGAGGGCCAGCCCATGGCATAGCAGTTAAGACCATGGCACTCTGCTTCAGCAGCCTGGGTTCACAGGTTTGAATTCCGGGCGCAGACCACCACTCATCAGCCATGCTGCGGCAGTGACCCACATAGAAAACAGAGGACGACTGGCACAGATGTTAGCTCAGGGCTAATCTTCCTCAAGCAAAAACAGAGGAGGAGTGGCAACAGATGTGAATCTTCAGATTGAATCTTCCTCACCAAAAAAAGAAAAATAAGTAAATAAAATTAAATAAATGCAAAAAGTTCAGAGTTGGAAACCACAATAACCAACAATAGTAAAGTTTCTTTTTCAGCTCTAACATTCTAACACTTCTTTCTCTAAAATTATTGTCACATAAAAAAATTATTCAAAAAGGAAAACAAAGGCAGCTAGGAAGCACACATTTCACAACCTTCCTCAAGTTCCTTCAACCCATTAATATGTCATTTAATGAAATCATAAAGTATTAAAGAATAGCATTTGGCCATTCCATCAGTAATAATTTTGAGGACCACTTCAATTCATCCAAATGTCTGTTTTTAAAGCACAAAATTCCTTTTTTATGACTAAGCCCATTTAATTAAATGAACTCCAGACTCATCTTAAACTTTCAAAATGACAGTAAATTGGAAAGAAATACACATTCCAAAGATTTTCTCTTACTCCTAAGCAGGCGCAAAACACGCTAAATTGTTAACCAGGGACAACATATTAGGATCTTACCACATCCATTTTGGCTTTTTCAAATTCTTGCTTTTCCTTCCTCAATTTCTCAGCATGCATCAGCTCCATCCTAAAGTACTACAGACAGGAACCAATGAACCAAAAATCTTTGGAGATAATTTTTTAAATTAGAAATACATAATATGCCATTTTTTACCCACAAATATCAGTTCTGAAAAAATGTGAGGAGAGCATCCTATTTTATTTTGTTACGAAACTAGCCACCATTAACAAACAGGGAGATGTTTGCAGTCGTGAAACAGTTCTGTATTTTGAGTGCAGTGGTGGTTACACAAACGTACACAAGTGAAAAAAATGACACAGAACCATATGCACACATTATACCAATGTCCATTTCCTGGTCTTAATATACTATAATTTTATAAAATGTAACTATCGAGGGTAACTGAGTAAAGAGTACACAGGACCTCACTGTACTATCTTTGTTACTTCCTGTCAATCTACACTTATTTAAAAATAAAAATCAGTGGCAAATACATAATGTCAAGCTATATGAAGAAAACTAATGCACAATTAACATGCACTGTAAAGTTGGACTTGTCCAGAATTTTTAATACTTTCAAGTCCATGTTACAAGACTTATTAAAATGATAAGTTAAAAAAAAGTTTATACCCTTTAAACCAGTAATTCCACTTCAAGGAACCTATCATAAGGAAATAATCCTAAATACACACCTAAAAGTTTCATACACAAAGCTGTAAGAGCAAATACTGGAAACAACCTAAGGGCCCAACAATAGGGGAACTGAAATAGATTATAAAAGAAGCAGCCTGCTGATGCAGCCAGAAAATCATTACAATAATTTAGTAATGGTGCACTACAATTCTAACGTTATTCTACCTTGTTTTTAAAGCTGGCTACAAAATTTTACATGTAACACAATCAACCACTATGTGAGAAACGTGCACAGAAAAAAAAGAAATGCACCATATTGTTAATAGCATTTGTCCTCAATTGGTCAAACTTTTTTCCTCTTCTGTGCTTTTGCTTTTCTGATTTTTTGCTCCAAGATTTCCTATCAATACATATTACTTTTATACAGCCATGTGCCACACAACAACCTCAGTCAATGACAGACCACATAAGACTAATAATAAGATTAGTGCCATATAGCCTAGGTGTGTAGCAGGCTATACCATCTAGGTTTGTGTTAAGTATACTCTATGATGTTTGCACAACGCCGAAATGGCCTAACGACACATTTCTCAGAATGTATCCCCATTGTTAAATGGCACATGACTGCAGTGTAAAATAAAAAATAAACTTCAGGGTTTTTTAAAAAATGCAACTATTAAAACAGATAATGTACATGAGAAGTTCTCAAAATGTGACTTGGGGATACATGGGGGTTCCTGACATCCTTTCATGGGGTCTGCAAGGTCAAAATTATTTTCATAGTAATACTAACATGTTATTTGCCTCTTTTGCTCTTATTCTGTCAAGAGTTTACAGTTTTTCAATGCCATCCAATGGGTGCTATCACTCAGACTGAATGCAAAAGCAGGTATGAGAATCCAGCTATCTTCTATTAAGTCAAATATTCAAGAGATTAGCAAAATATAAAATAATGCCATTCTTCTCTTTAAATTTGTTTTACAAGAGTTACTTTCATTTAAAAATAAGTAATCTATATTCAGGTAATGTGTTTAGTATTTTTATATGAATATTTTTAGATTTCTTGGTTTTAATTTTCAATACAACAAAAACTGATGGAAGTAACCCATATAAACAAAAGATCTTTGGGGGTCCTCAGTAATTGAAGATTGCAAAGGTCCTAAGATCAAAAAGTTTGCATACCACCGATATAGATCAATACATACTAACATGGAACTATATGCACAATGTATTAGGTAAAATACAGAACACAAGAATATGTAGTAGAATCCCACTTTTCAGAAATAAAATCTGTTTTAAATATCTGTAATGTGCATAAAGGTATGGATGGTATGCATAAAGGTATGATTACTTTTTCTGTTTTTTTATAAAACTATTTTCTCTGAACTATTTATAACAAACAAATTCTAATTACTTTTGATAAGGATAAACAATAAATCTATTTCCATTTTGGAAAATATAAAGTATAGGCATTTACGAAAGGCTCCAAAAAACATACGTAATAATACCAAACAATAACCCTCCAAGAGCAGGAACGACTGATTCTTACAAGAGCTTCTCAATAAAAATAATAAGGGCAGCAAAGGAATGTCTAACAGAATATGAAAAGCGAAAGGATGCAAGACTACAATATAAAACATCATTAAATTACTACAAGATGAAAACACAGCTGGGACACCCATCAAACCTATCAGCACGAAGACCCATTATCGTTTTCCCCTCATCACACAAGGCTTAATTTTCACTTGAAGACTACACAGCAGTTTCTCCCTTATCCTGACAAACATCGGAGAAAAGAGTACAGTTTCCAATAATGCGCGATATCTCACTTTTGTTGCTTTTTTAATCAAAAGTCTGGCCATCATTGTTCTAGTGCACCCCACCAAGAGGGGTCCTCAGTAATTTAAAGAGACGAACAGAACAAAAAGAAATTGGAAAAGAGAGGGAGAGAAGCCAAAAGAAGAGAGAGAAAGAGAAAGAAAAGGAGAGTGAGAAAGACGCAAGAAAAAAAATAAGGACAAAGGTATAAAGATGGCTGAACCATGGCTCCCACAACTAAAAAAGGTAGGGTCCAGTTCTCTATCCCTCCCAACCATAAAGGGTAGGTAGGAGTTCCAACCTCTCACTAACAACCTGGAAGAGGCACACGGTCAACACCTACCACTGGCCAAGAGATACCCTCCCAGCTCCCTTTCCCCAGCAGCTCCCCTGCTTCTGCCTAACCTCCGTAAACTGGAGTCTTTCTTAATAAAGAATACATGTCTCCAAGGGACCACACTGAGGCATCACTCTCTCATCTCATGTGCACACACACTCACTTCCTGATAAAGTTTTGGGCACTCCGGATGAAAACGCAGGGCTCGAAGAAATAGCTGTCTTGCACTTTCAGAAGATAAGCGATCTTCCATTTCCCACTTTGCGGCCATGATCCACAAAGCTATGAATGAAAAACACCAGACTTCACTTCAACAAATTAATCAAGTCAGGCAAAAAAAGACCAACGCTCCAATTTTAATACTCAAAGAACTTTTAAAAAAGATCTTACCAAAAGAGAAAGGGGATGGAGAGAGGAAATTTCTAACAGCTATCGTAAAGTATTGTTGTTTTATCTAAAATTAGAGTATCCTGAAGCAAATAGGGAAATGTTAACATCTGTGGGGACTCATGTGCCTGTCACTCTATTTCATTAGCTCTAAGGCCAACATCATTGGAAGTCTCACACAAATTTATAAGTCTTAAAATGATAGAAAAAATTGTGTATCTGGGAATCAATGAAATAAAATTATTTTGCTTTTTCTCTATATTTAAAATATTTCAGGGGCTGACCCGGTTGCATAGCAGTTAAGTTCCCAAGCTCCGTTTCGGCAGCCCAGGGTTTGCAGGTTCAGGTCCCAGGCGCAGACCTACACACCACTTATCAAGCCATGCCATGGTGGCATCCCACATACAAAATAGAGGAAGATCGGCACAGATGTTAGCTCCAGGACAATCTTCCTCAAGCAAAAAGAGGAAGATTGGCAATAAATGTTAGCTCAGGACCAATCTTCCTCATCGAAACAAAAATAAATAAATAAATGAGTAAATAAATAAATATTTCATAACTTTTTTAAACGGCTCACAATTTTAGATTTTTTTATTTTTTCCTTTTTCTCCCCAAAGCCCCCCGTACATAGTTGTATATTCTTCGTTGTGTGTCCTTCTAGTTGTGGCATGTGGGACGCTGCCTCAGCGTGGTCTGATGAGCAGTGCCATGTCCACGCCCAGGATTCGAACCAACGAAACACTGGGCCACCTGCAGTGGAGCACGTGAACTTAACCACTCGGCCACGGGGCCAGCCCCACGGCTCACAATTTTAAAAACAAATTTATCATCATACCTTTTGGGAACAAAGGCTTTAAAAAAAACCAACTTTGTCCTTCTAGATGAGAAATTATCCTTGAGTTAACATTCTAGCTATCTCCCTAGAAACGTAATAAAGACCAGCTATGTTACCAGTCAAGAGTGCTTTGGTAAAAGCGACCCAGGGTTGGCAACCACACCTGGACTAGGAAGGCTGGGAGCGGTAGAGAGCCACTGCTTTGGGCTTTCTGGAGCATGTGACGCCTGAAATTGAGCACAGCCCTTTCTAGGATCCCTGGAAGCTACAGTCATCCGTGGGCCTTCTAAGCCAGAGTGGCACCTCTACCCACTCATGTGGTCTCATCCCCTCACACCTGAACCGTCCCCTTGGGGACTAGACTCTAGCCACTGAATTGCTAAGAGTACTCCACTGAAGAAACACACCGAACGCTGTTCTGCTGTACCCTTCTGAATAAACTGGCACCAAATGTAGCCTATTTGGGTCTTGCGTAGTGTAAAATGTCTGTCTGGTTGAGCCTAACACTTGAGACTAGGCGCTGGAGCACCTCCCTTATAAAATAATGTACCGCTTACACAGTAGCCACAAGAGAAATCCTTCCCTTACGAAACAGAAGTACCTACTCTATGCCAGTCTCCTGCAAAATCTGTATTAATGTTTTCCCCTTTTAAGTTTTTGAAATCCCTTAAATATGACTGCCTCTGAACAGAATGTCCCTCAAAAAACCAAAGAGTTTCTTCTATCGTTAACTAAAAAGAAACATAGACCTTCTTGCCCACAGACACAATACCTGACACCCTAACCAGTACATACAGGCATGGATGAGCTAAGAGGCAAGCGACCTGGGAACCAAACCTGCTGAGGCCAAGGGCCTGTGCTCAAGTTCTCAAAATAATTTCTTTTAGGTTTATCAAGCAAAATGAATTCCAAAACAGCCTGAGTCTACAGAAAAGGTAGAAAAAGAACTGACAAGGATTTCAACGTACCTGGCTTGTTCGAATGAATAGCCAACATGGCAGAGAATACCTTGCTAAGTTGAGCTTTGGCAGCCTGCAAAAGAGAAAGCAAAAAATTCTACTCACTACACAGCAAAATCACTGTTTTTAATCTCTGAGTGATCTCACTGTACTCTCACCTTATAAAACCTAACGGGGCAAGATCTACTACTGCTGGGACACATAAGCAAACACAGACAGACCCAGAGTTTTCTTCTACCTAAACCACTATATGTAAACACTCTAAATATCTAAAAGAAAAATTTCAACTTTACTGAACAAATACACATAAAGATCTTTTTCTTTCTTTCTTTTTTATTTTTGCTGAGGAAGATTAGCCCTGAGCTAACACTCGTACCGATCTTCCTCTATTTCATATGTGAGCATGCTGAACTTAACCATTAGGCCATGGGGCCAGCCCACACATAAAGATCTTTTTTTTTTTTTTTTAACCAACTTGGACGCCATGTGTATAGTCATTCAGACATGCAATACTGTTACATTGAAGTTCAGTCTTCTTGCATTTTTCCCTTTTGCTAACTCTACATTTTTGGAGAAAACATGGAGTTCAGTCATTAAGTATGGGACTTCAAAGGCAGACTAACCAAAAGATGGAGAGAGGGAGCAAGACACAGCTGCCCAATACTCACCCACTTCTTACAAAAGACTACATAGGATAGCCAAAGTTGAACATCATCCTGCAAGAAAAGCAACGTAGTAAGCTGCCTGAATTTGAACTCTATATATAACACATCTTTGCAATACTTAATTTTGTTAGAAAGAGAGGCAGATTTTCGAAACTCCAATGTGTTACCACACCCCTCAGCATATTAGGCTCTTCCTCACGGAGACCTTAGGTCTCTTAGCCATGATAATTCAATCCAGCCCCCTACTCCCACCTGCCACACTCCAAGGCAAAATCTGCTGTCTATCCAATACGCTCAGTGCAGTGCTTATTAAATGGTCTCCATCAGGGGTAGCTACCCAAAATGTGTCATTCCCAGGAATCCAAGGTACTTCCCATACAACATGTCCCAGTCCCAGAGCCAAACTTGAAGAAAATCAAGTTACTGAGGCACTGCCTCTACTCTAACCATTATCTTCCACCTTCAAGTCTTTGGTATGCTATACTTCAAGACAGATCCAAACAAAACCCAGACAATCTGCTGACCCTTAATTATGTATCAAATCCACTGTTTTCATCACCATCCTTACAGAATAACCACAAAGTAATGAGACCAGTTTTCTTAACAGTTTGATAAGTGGTTTCAAGTAACGATACCAACATTAGAATAAGTATTGAGACACACCAGATAAGAGGAGACAACAATACATGTGAATATCTGAGTCACAACATGATAATACATATCTTCCCATCCCTTACAGTTAAGGCCGCTCTGATCACTTACTTTCCACTTTGCTGAAGCACGTCGGAAGACACCCTGGACCCGGTGTACAATAGAATTCTCAATCTCATCCTTCTTAAATGAATACCCAATGCGCTAAAAAGGGACACACAAAAACTAAGCCTCAGTTTAATCACATTAATCCAAAGCAGCATTCCTACCCGATCATCCAACAGTACTGACAGAGAAAGCAAATAATCACAAATATCCATTATGAGCACATCGCCACACATTTATCAATGCCAACTACTTCCCAAACCCAAGTTCCAGCTATAGAAACCACTCTACTTCATTCTATATTTTTCCAACTTCCAGAAAATGATCTACTTACAGCTCTTCTTCTCTGGATCAGCTCCAAAAGATTAATTTCATACTACGTAAGAAAAACACACCAAAAAAAGAGAAAACGAGAAAAATTATAACTTTTTAAATACAGGAAATGCATTTAGTTGTAATCATAAACAAAAATCAAGAATATAAAACAGGAGATAATTTACTATCAAGAAGCATATTTACAGTTAATGTCTAGCATTCACTAAAAATTCACCTCACATCTGCAAAACTCACAAATACATACATTAGCAAGCATATAAACATATTAGATAGAAAGGAAGCATGTTACTAAAACCGTAAGACCATAAGATTTACAATATCTAACTTTCTAGTCTACAAGCGTGTTCGAACTTTTAGTAAATTAACCACTCAAAAATTTTAGCTGATGCACAAGCAAATAAATTAGAGTAGAACAAGCTGAAACAGGGTGCCTAACTTGCTCTCCCTGCCCTCCCCTCTAAAGGACCACTCAGAACCTCTAAAACTATCTAAAAATCACTACCATACAATTCCTCTCTAAGCCCCAGTTTGAAGACTCTTAGAGACAGAAAACTCAGGACCTCACAAAATTGCATGCTTCATTTTAAACTTTGATGAACTATTTCAAGCACACAGAACACCCATGCAGCTACCACACAGCTACATTAAAGCCTACACTTGACTCTATTTGCTTCAAATCTTTTTTAACAATAAAACATTTCAAATAAAGGTGAAGCCCTCTAACTTCCCCAGAAGAAATGACCATCTTGACACTGTCGCTTATCACTCCCAAGCATGACTCCAGATTTTATTATAATGCCGTCTTGAATGCCTTTAAACTGTATACAAATGCTATCATACTGTACCCATCGCTCCACATTTTTACTTAACATTATGTCTTTAGATATATCCCTGTTGACACATGCAATTCAAGCCCATTCATTTTAACTACTGTATAGTATTTCATTGTATGAATAAACAATTTACCTATCCTTTCTCCTGCTGATGCATATTTATTTCCAATTTTTCCATTACAAAAAGCTGTAATTAATCTTCTTGTACATATCTTCTTGTAGACATATTCAGGAACGTTTCCAGAGTGTGTACCCCCTTCCACCACTAATATATAAGCTCCTCAAGGCAATGATTTTTTGTCTGCTTAATTTATTATTGTACCCCACTAGATCGAAATCAGTGCCATGTACACAGCAGGTATCCAATATTTACTCTATAACCGAATGAATGAAATTGCTGGGTCACAGAGTACACAAATTTTCAACTTTATACCAAATTGTTCTTCAAAGTGGTTGTACCTATCATACACTGATGTCAGTCTTTAAAATGTTTGCTAATATGATGAATGCAAAGTAGTAGTGCACCCTGGTTTTAATCTATATTTACCTGATTACTAATGAGACTAACATCTTTCCCTAAGTTTATCAGTGAATGACGTTTCCCCTTTGTGATTTGCACGTTCATATTTTTCCAGTTGTTTTCATTTTCTTTCCAGTTTTTTGTCATTTTCTTTCTGGTTTGTAGTTCTTTATGTATCCTAGATTCTAATTATATGTGTTGCAAATATTTTCTCCCATTTTGTGACTTGTCTTTTTACATTATTTATGGTGTTTTTGCACAGAAATTTTTAATCTACTCAAGTCCATCTTCCCTTCATGGTTTGTGCTTTCACAGTCTCATTTATTTTTAGAAATCTTTCCCCAGCTGAAGTCATTCCTTCATATATTGTGTAGAAGATTTAAGTTTTCCCCCCACATTTAGCTTTTCTATTCAGCAGGAATTTATTTTTGCGTCCTATGCAAGGCAGGGCTCTAATTTTATTTTTTCAATGTAGATTACCAGAACCTCACTGATTTAAAATGCCATTTATGTCTCATAGCCAAGTTTATAAGGGGGGAGGGATATGCAACAGTTTGTGTGTTTGTATGTGTGTGTTTAATCTACTTACTTATTTCAGTTATGCTCTCCAAAACTAATCAACCTAATCTACACATAGCTCTTCAAATAGCTGAAGAACGAAATTATTTGCCACTTCTTAAGTCTCCTTAAGGTTAAACTTCTCTATTTCCTTCAATGATTCCTCCTGGAACAAGGTTTCCATCCTGGCTGCCTTCCAACCAATCTTTCCAAGTCTTTCTTAAAATGTAGCCTTGAGCATAACACAATGCTCCAGACGTGGTCTGATAAGTACAAAACACTTTTCCTCAAACCAATATCTCTGAGTGCCTACTGTCTGCAATGTCCTCTGCTCAGCTAACTTACTCAACACTCTACTTTTGTTAATGTAGTTAATTAGATTATATTTCTTGACATAATACGCTCTTGGCTCATTTTGAGTCAGCAATCTACTATGAGCCTTAGGACCTCTTCCAAATATAAGATTCTTAGCCAGGTCTTATATATCATTTGTTCAGTTGTGTGGGTTTTTTTGTTTTGTTTCAATCTAAGCCCAGAACCTTTAGTCTTAAATATTTCATCCTGTTATTGGGTTCTTTCTGAATCCTGATTCCATCATCCAACATGTTACCCGTTCTCCCCCATGTGAAAGTTGGTCTAGCACGTATATTTTATCTTCACTCAAATCTTCCATTCATTTACAGGACTGAAGAATCTTGCAGCATACCTCTCTCTAAGTTGAACACACTTATAGACAAGTTAAGTATTAACTTTCCAAATATTTACTATCATCAAACTGACTCTCCTTTATTTTTCCCCACAAGAGAGTCTTTCAAATCTCTTACTGAAATCCTGATACACTGTGTCTCTGGCAGTCTCTGATCTATTAACCCGTATAGAAGAAAAAAACAGTTTCACCTGCCAAGGACTAAAGCCTTAATGGAGCAATGCTATTTCCAAACCACCTCTATTCCTGTTAAAAAATTACCTGTCTAATCACTGATTCTAAAATTTTGTAGAAAATTGACATCAAGCTGATCGTTCAATAATTGATTTAAAATTTCTAAGATTAAAAAGTAATGAAATTATTCACTTACTTGAACATAATTGATAAAGTCTTCCTTGAAAAGAGCTCTTCGCTGTATCCTGTACTCTAGATCTGAAGCCTTCTTAATGATAGCCCTGAGGAGAAAGTTATTCAAAACGTAACACTTGAAAAGAGCAAAAGTTAAATAACTTTGGGGTTTTTTGAAGTTTCTTTACTTTTAATATATTTAAAACATAATTACCAAAACATTTAATTCCCAAATAATTATCCTTGGTAAGCAAGTATTCTCTTACATGATTACTCCCAAGATCTTACGGGCACCAGGATATATCTTAAAACTTTCCTGAAAATCATCTTCATCAATCACCAGGATCGCTGACGTTCCCATCGGCAAAGTAAAAAATGTGAACTACTTTACATTATTTATACGCACTATTAGTAAAGACTTCTTTTCCTCCACACTCAGGTCACTTAGGTTTTAATAATAACCAAATCTCTTTCCAGGCAGATTAAAAAAAAAAACCCTAGATTGTCTCTGCCTAGAAAGGTTTATCATCACTATAAAGGACTTACAGGAGGAGAGTCACTGAGCTAAGGAGTGAACACACAACATGTGTGTATTAGGAGAATTTAATGTAAGATGTGCAAGACTAATAATTGTCTCTAGTTAATGGCAACAATAACATTTCCTGGCTGCTTATTAAGAGTTCACACTGCTGTGTTGCGTTCTAGTAACAATTGTTTACTTTAAAGCTCCTATAGTCACATTACTACATTCACAGTCACTGTAAAATGAAGAAATAGCCACAGAAAGCCGTTAAAAACTATTATTTTAACAAATTAGTGAACGCCAACTATATGCCAGATGTTGATGGCGAAACCCTGGGGTATAATACGAAATTGAATTAAATGGTCCCCATCTTTAGATCTTGTTAGAAACACTTATCTACTCCTCCTGGGCTCCCACGGCACTCCGCTCGCATCTCTAGAGCAGCACAATCTACTACAATCGACTTACCAGTACACTACACTGTAATCAAAATGTTCACTTGTCCGTCTCCCCCACCACACACACACACACACACACACACACACACACGGCAGTCAGCTCCTGATGGGCAGGGATCCTGGTTTTATCCCCTTCTAGCCCCAAGACCCCGCTCCATGAAGAGCTGTTCTGTTTGGTGGGTAAATGCACGGATCACCTTGCAATGAATGAGAAATTAGGTCTGGGCATCACCCAAATCTGGCAATGGGCTCCCGCCGTGTTAGGGAAAGTAAACACAACTCAAGTGCCCACAGCCCTGCCCCCGCCACACACACGCCCCCACCTCCCCTCAGCCCGCCGCAGCCCGTCCCCTTCCTCAGCGCTCTCACTTAATCTCCGCACGACTGAACAGCCCTATGCGCTCCAGCTGTTCCAACTCGGGGAGTCGATCTTCTATGCGCTCCTGAATGATCTCCGCCATGAGGTCCGAACTCTAGAACGCCGAGAGAGCCAAGCCCCGGCCCACACGCGCAAGAAGCGCACCCCTTCTGGTCCGGAGATCCTACCCCGCGGCTCGCACGTGCTGACGTAACGCGCGCACGGGATCCCGCCTTTTCCGCTTCCGCCGCCCCCGCCGGTGGAGAGCGCCCTGCGGCTCCCGCGGCCGCTGGCGCCTCCGTGTGGCTGGCTGTGGGGTTGCCGCGAGGACCCCTCCCTCGCAGGAGGACTCGCTGGGACCGGCGTGGAGGGGCGGGGCTAAATGAGCGCGAGGCTAGACAGGGGCGGAGATCGGAAAAAGCGCCTCCGGGTCCAGAGGGGTTACCTGGAAGGGGTGTGAAATGCCTTTTCTGCAGGATGCTGTCTGCTTTTGTTCTGCTCCCATCGCAAGTCCTCGCTTTCCAACACCAAGAACCAGGGAAAAAAAAAAGCAAAGGGGAAGGATAGAGGATATTGTATAATTACAGTAAACATTTCAAAAAGTCTGTAATGAAAGTCCTAAGGGGCGCTGTAACTGACCAGGCTATCCAAAACACTATGTCTTTGCTTTCGGCTGGATTGAGTGAGCCAGTGTGATAACACTGGGTTTTCACGTGCCAATTAGAATGTCTAATTGGCTGATTAATTTTAAAATGGGGAAACATTTTTATTATGTAAAAATAATTATCCTGGCTTTGTAGACAAGATCTTTCAAAACACATGGCCCTGGGTGGGTAAAGGAACCATATTTTTTTAAAAAAAGAAACTATGTTGTTTTTAGAAAAAGGGATTTGGGTATTCAAAAGTTTAAGAGTTACAGAAATAAATCAGTAAGATAGAGACTCTCCTTAAACCATTGCCCAAGCAACTTAGCATTTCTAAGAGAACCATCAGACAACCCAGCTTGGAAGCAACATTGTTGGCGTAATTACTAAATCTAAAATAATAACTACACGCTCAGTTCTTTTAAGTTCTGGAAGATGATAAAAAACCAAAGCAGGAGTTCTTGCTAGACCTGTTTATTTCAACATCTGCATTAGCGCCCTGATCCTCTGTGTGATTTACGAAAGGGGAATAGGCTTAGCAATTAACCACGTTCCGCCTCTGTGCCTTTCTTTTCCTTTCACATTTTACCCCACTGGTCTCAGAATTGAGAAAGGTTGGCTTTGTTACTTTTTGATTCCCTCAGCTGTAAGACATGAGGGAAGTGGAAGGAAATCATGGATGTAAAACAAAGATGAAATTTCTTCATAATAGTAAAACCTCTGCGGCCTGTGTTAGCAGTAAGAGTGGGGATGCCATTAACTAGTAAGCTCCATATGGGCAGGGGATTTTTGTTTTGTTCCCTGGATACCTGGGAGCCTAGAACAGCGCCTAGAATATAATAAGCACTCAATAACTGCATGACAGAATAAGAAAAGACACTTGCTAAATTTCTTTAGGTATAAGGGAGTCAGCAAGCTCTGAGAGATTGTAATCTTTCATTCCAAGGCAAATTTGATAGGTAACTATGATTTTTAAATCAACCCAACTATAAATATTCTCCTCCCTTATTTTCAAATTTAGCTCCTCTGTTTCTCTTGCTCTAAGAATTATTATAATGATAATGGCAAAGCCTTCTTTTGTCTCTTCTGCATCTCATAATAGCTGTCACTTATGTAGGACTTACTACGTGCTCAGCTACTATGTGCACTGTTGTAAGTTCTTTACATATTAACTCACCTACTCCTATCACAAGTATTTTTAAAAATCAGGGGCCAGCCTAGCGGTGTGGTGGTTAAGTTTGCAGGCTCTGCTTCGCTGGCCCAGGGTTCACAGGTTCAGATCCTAGACGCGGACCTACGCACTGCTTATCAAGCCATGCTGTGGCAGGCGTCCCACCTATAAATTAGAAGAAGATGGGCGCAGATGTTGGCTCAGGGCCAGTCTTCCTCACCAAAAAAAACAACAATGACCAAAGCCTTCTCCCTCTCCGAAAGAGTTTATGCGAATTTTGCATTGTAGCCCACAATATATTAGTATTTCCTTTAATATAAATTATTGTGATTTTTTTTTCTAGATTGTCAAGTAAAATTAATCCCAGAAAGATGTACCTTGCTCACCCATGTTGGAGAAACACTTGGCCCCATTGTGGTGCTCATGAACCAGTTTGGGAAAGAGCAAAGAGAAGCTCCAGGGTCCTGAGATGCTCTCTTGGGGAGTCTGAGAGCTGAACACTAGCCAGATGTTTGCAAATCACATTAAAACTTCTACTCTTCACTTCAAAGTACTTAAATGTAAAATTCAAAGAAAACTTGAACTTTTCCTTAGAGTCTTCATTGTCATATCTGAAGATTAAGTTCATAGACAGTTCAGTGGTTAAAAACAGCAGAGAAAGAAACATCCATCTTTTTAAATTATTATTATTACTTGGTAAAGCGAAGGACCTAATTTCAGTGATAATGAGAGGTGAGACACCTGGAGTGTCATCCCCCTACCTTGTTCGAAGTCCCCTGCCTGCTTCTCCCACACAGAGAGCTCCAGTAGACTTCAAAGTCAGAGCAGAAGTGATAGACACAGACTGGTCTTTGATGCCTAAGCACATCGGAGCCCTCAGTTTGATGCGAATGCAAAGCATCTGTACTTTTCAAACCTTTCATGTTATCTCACATTGCTAACAACAAAAGCTGAAAAGTTTGAGGTGACACACACTACACGCATTAAAATATTTGGAACCAAGAACTTTTCATTTCTTTTTCTATTATATATAGCTTCTTTTACTTTGCAAACCACATTGGATAGTAAATTACTTCTGGCACGCAGCCTTGTCAGCTTGCCAAATTTCAACTGGAGCAAGTTTTTACAGCTGGGCTAATAAGCCCTGAAAATTAGGAGGTAAGTATAATGGAAATAATGACACGGTCTTTAACTGCAGGAGCATAGAATGACAACGTGAGATTCTCATAGATTCTACTTTTAAAAGTTTTTTTATTCTAATGAAACTTTAAAAAAAAATCTTAGATTATTCTAGTTCAAAACACATGTAAATGGAAAGAGTTTTTTTTTAATTGGTGAAAAGCATTTTTGTGGTTTTTTCCCCCTGTGGCTTAAGTTATTGCTTTTTGCAAATTCAAAAATAAAAGAAAGAAAACCAAGAATATGGTAGTTTGGGGATAACAACCTACTCTTAAAACAAACTGACATCTTGAAAAAACATGTTCTGAAATGATTGGTTTCCAGGATGGGGCCTGGCAATTGTTTGTGTATGAATACATTTCATCAAAGCCATAGCTGATTAGCTACGTCAACTTTTTTTTAAGATTGCCCCCAATTCAGACAGAAACCCAGTCTCTGCTTAAGTAACTTTCAGATCTTTTTTGAGAAAAGCTTCAAAAAATTTAAAATGAATATCACATTTAATTTGTTTCACTGCAAGAAACAGGTAGTCTGTTGTGAGGTAGTATCCATTTCTCTCCATTTAATTCTTACATCCATTCCCATTCACAATTTACAAGTGAGGAGGAAAATTCTTTTTCCCCTTCTTGCTCTGCCCTCCAATTAGACCTAGACTGATTAGCCTCAGCACCACATGCTCAGTCCCAAATTGTTTAAGCAGAGAAGAGGTTTGGAGTTGTGTTGTGTGTTTTCTATACTAAAATAATATGGCCTTACTCCAGAAATGCCAGCTTTCTTATAGTTCCCCAACCATACCATGCTATTTTATACTTCTATTACTGCCATATTACTCCCCGCACCTGGAAGGTCTTTTGTTCCCTTATCCATTTAGCAAATTTAGTTCAGGGAAAAAAAAAAAAAGGAAACCCACCCTTAATGCCCCACCATCCCACCATCACCATCAATTCGTATACCTATATACATTTATATAAAGGGCTCAGTCTTTGAATCTCTTTTTTTTCCTTTCACTAATTCTCTGTATGATCTTATCCAGGCCCATAACATCAAAAGTCACCCATCAGTCCTGTCCAATAGAACTTTCTGTGATGCTGGAAACGGTCTATATCTGCACTGTCCAGTATGGTAGCCACAAGTCCCATGTGGCTATTGAGTACTTGAAATGTGGTTAGAGCAACTGAGAAACTGAATTTTTTTATTTCATTTGATTAATTTAAATTTAAATGGCCACACATAGCCAGTGGCTGCCACTCTGGACTGCACTGATCTATCTGACTTCCAAATGTATGGCACCAAGCCATAACTGTCCCCTGAACCCCAGACTCATGCCAGCATGTCCAACTGCCTACTCAACATCTCCACTCGGAGCTCTTCCAGGCAGTTCAAAATCAGGATTTCAAAACCAAGCTGCTGATGTTCTCGCCCAAAATCTACTCTTGCTATAATCTTCTTCATCTTGGTTAATGGCAGTTCCATACTTCCAGTTTCTCAAGCCAAAAGCCTGGGAGTTGTCCCAGACTCCACATCTAATTGGCCAGCAGTCCTCTCTGTTCTATGAAATAGAGCCAGAGCATGACCTCTCCCCTTCATTGCTATTGCTATCATCCAGTGCAAGCCATTAGCTCTCACCTGGATTATCGCTATAGCCTCCAACTGGTCTCCTTGTTTTCACCTTGGCCCTCTTGAGTCTTTTCTTAATAGGTATCTCTTCTTAACAGCAGTCAAAGCTATTTTGTTAAAATAAAAGCCAGATCATATCATTTCTCTGCTCAAAACCCTACAATGGCTTTTTGACTCAGAGTAAAAACTAAAATCCTTTCATTTACCTACAAAGCCCCATATGATCTGGTGCCCCGCCTTTCCCTACCTGTCTGACCTTACTTTCCACTCCTCCCTTGTCTCCTCCACTCCAGATACATTAGCCTCCTTGGTATCCCCTCAATATGACAACGTAGGGCCTTTGCACTGGCTATTCTCTCTCCCTGGAATTCTCTTCCCCAGACAGTTTCATGGCTCATTCCCTCACCTCCTTCAGATCTTTCTCAAATGTCACTCTCAGGGAGGCCTTTCATATTTAAAATTGCAGCCCTTACCCTCAACCATCCTTATTCTACATTTTGCTTTTTTCCTCCGTATCACTGATCACCATCTAACTTTACAGTAGGGTTTATTATTTGTCTCTCCTCTCCTCACATGCACACTGAAACATAAGCTCTGTAGACCT